TAATTTCTAGCATTTGACCATTAAATTGATATATTCTCAAGCGTTTACGAATATAAGGGCAGAGGACACAGGACTAAGTACGTTCCACAAGGTTTCTCTGACACGCCGACAAAGTTGTGAAAACGGGGTGGAAGCAAAGCTAGAAGGCCAGGCCTGTTTACTATCACATTCATATTTGGAATTTCTTGTATTTACCATTATAATAAATAACGTAAATTTTCTGAGAGCCCTATATACCCCAAGTCGCTTTAAGTGTTGAAAGATAAGTAGTGAGTTTTTCTGCAATAAGGTAAGTGGACCTCACGATGATTTTGAATTGCAAATATTCCAACTTCCCGAAAGACATTCTCATTTCAGCTAGACTGAACTGTAGTTTCCAACTCGGCTGAATCTCAACAACTCCTCTAGCAGGACCCGGGTAGTGCAACGTATAGACTTGACATGTTGAACATTAAACATACTAGATGTACTCACTCTATCTCGTTTAAGGTTAGAAAGACAGTGGACTACCCCCATACTACCCGGTCGTCAGTCGCTCGCAGGTCAGAAATGAATTTCAGGAGTATATCACATTTTAATTGTGGAATTTTCGCTGTATTTAGCATTATAAGTTAGTTTTCTAATTTCTGTTATCGCAATTTAATCAAGTATTTTCCTTTTTTAATGCTTTTAGTTATTAATTTATTAATAAAGTGGACTATGACCATAATTAATGGCACACCATCTTGTTCATCATAGATACTGCCTTTATTTACGTTTTTAAACACTTCTTATCATCTATAAATATGTTTACAATTCTAAATTAAAATTGAATCCCTAAACCTTATATTCATTATATCCACTAAAATATATAATTAGTGTTACTACTCTTAAAAGCAATTGAAATTCATTGCTTTCATTCGGGATATGTACTCAATCTGGTCATTTTGAGAACAGGCAAACACATCTCATATGTCTGAATTGCTGGTAGTCGGTAACTCTTACTTACAAACGAAAAATAAGTAATGTAGTTTATTACTATAGCAAATATAATGTTGCTTCATCGACAATCCCACACGGCAGATACTCTGTGACCCACGAGTGCATATGCCAATCTGATGTAATGGTTAATTTGTCGATATGATATGCTACACTATCATAGTTCGAGTCCCGCTATGGGTGTTTATAAGACCCAGGCGAGATCAAAACTGCATTCGACCCTGAAACGACTATTAGGGAAGCAAGGCTATGTCAAATTGAATGGAAATGTAAGGTATACTCATATCATTGTGGGAGAATTTAACTACTAGTCCTTCATCACTTCAATCAAAATATGGTGACCATGCCTCATAAAACCTCAAAGAATCACAGGTCATAAATTTGTGTTTGGATGGAATGAGTTTAGCGACATGAAATTCGGGCTGAATTCCATCTTTGCGTGAAATTTCATGCTGAAAATAGTATAAAGATACTAAAATGTGATTCAGTAAATGCTTGGTTTGCTGTGAATAACACATATGTACGAAGAAAAGGCAATTTTCGAAGAATCTCCTGAAATGAGATTATTGTGAAGACTTTTCCTTCGTGTGGAAGTACATGGTGAAGAGATTCGTATATCAATCTCATCAGAAGACCCAGGTTGACTCGCGATGTACTGCAGCCGTTAAGCTCTAATACCACGTCCGGTTAGCCCTCTTGACCTTGTGTTAACTTGAGGCTTTTGCAAAAATGAGCCCTAGTTCATGACGAAAGAAATCTCAGCTCGTATTCGCTTGAAATGTTAAATTCAATGGTCTCGTAAGGTCTATTAATATTCTTTTTGGGAAAAAATTAACTATCATACCTTAAATCAGCTTAAGGGACCTTTTGTGATTAAATTCCCTCACAATCTATTCTGACTGGGGAGGCGCATTTGATAGGAACTCGTTTCGAAAAACGATGATTTATAGATCCTCGATTCGTTGGTGCATTAACGATATTCATGGCCTTGCAAGTGAAACCATGGCAGGGATCCAGAAAAATGGACTATCATCTCAGATTAGGTGGCAATAAATGCATTCTAAAGTATGCCCCAGTTTTCTTTACTCACGATTTATTTTTCATATGGTCTACACAAGACTGGATTAAGCCACAGAGTAAGAGTTATCCTCGTTTTATTGTCCCTTTTCATGCCAACTTGGATTCTAATCTGTTCCTCAAGCCCTCTTTGGCTCAGAGTCTTGGTAACCCTATCAGAAGTGATCGTATTTTCCCACAATGCTATGAGTAGATATCATGTTTCAATTGAATTCGCCAAGCCTTGACTGCCTTTGGGTCACAGAAAAGATGTTAGTTTCAGGGAAGGATAGGATTTTCCCATATCGCATTTCAGGGAACACTATTCACGGTCTTCTGGTAATTTCCCCCTCATTTAAGATGTAACCGGCTCAGTCCCTCATGCAATCTCATACAAAATAAGAATCTGTGCGACTCAATAGATTCACCGAAACCCAGCTACACATCTTATCTACCACACAAGTTTGCCTCGTCAACAATACCACACAACAAATGTGATAGGAAATAGGCCTTGGTTGCCTTAATATTCACTTCTCCCCTGTTACAGAGATGTTCGTGGCAGTGTGGCGTTATGGTAACATGTCGAAACCATAAGCTACACTACTCGGACTCGATTCCCATTGGAAGTTCTGACATTAACCAAGTGTAGTTGAAACTCAGTCCACTTAGTTTGGCAATATTCAAATATCAGTACTCCTTCACCTTATGCGACCCAGGGTTAGTGGAAATCTTATAAAAATTTATGTATAATTTCGAAACCTAATTTATACAAGTAGCTATGACGATTTTTATATTATATGGGATATATAGTATTTAGCACACTTGTATGCTCCCTCACTAGGAGAAACACAGATTACGACCTGAGCACAAAACGACCGGGAAAGGTTTGTGCATTTAATGATCAGAACTAGCTGAACACGTAAACCACATGACATTTTATAGTGTCGCTAACCTCAACGTTTTGCTGTACGTGGAGAGTCCAGAGCGTATTGTTAGGAGTAATTAGTTAATAGAACAGTTAACAATTAATATGACAAAAATCGGAAGTGGAGACTTTGAGGAAAAAGTGATTCTGGTTGATGGATAGAAGTGAGGAGAGAAGGAAAGAAGAATCACCGAATAAGGCTTTGATAGTCTGAAGTCCGATTATGGCTGTAATATTTCATTTGGTGCATGAATGTCGCAAGCGTTGCAAGCGCAACACTTACAGCCCCACACCGGAGCACGTATTAACGCTGCAAGATGACGCTTGCGGTCATCTGAGAGAGGAACCATATATTCAGCCACACAACACACACGTCCAACCACACCCCAGAGTTCGCACCAACAGTTAAGCATCAGACCGCATGTCATTCGGCAGAGGAAATGGATGTTGGACTACATCCTGTTCGTCAGCAGCATCAAAAATCGCCTTATAGGAAGTCGGCTGGCCGCCATTCTTTGATTAGGCCTTTGTGTCAAATTGTGTTGGACATGCTTTCTAACTTTATCATTGTCTGTCAAGACAGGACATACGAGAGCCCTGCACGAGGGACGGTGTGCGAGAGCCAGTGGACTAAATTCGAGAGTCATGACTGCAAGCCAGATTTTATCCTTTATCCGGTTTGCCCAGCCTAACGACCCCTTCCACCCAAAGTTTCGTATGAAATGATGTAGGCCCAATGCCCTACAGCCAGTTCCAGTCTTGGCCGGCTTGGCTGTCAACCGCCTAAATGGACACCGTTATCGTTGACCCTGTTGTCTTTAACTTCTTTCTGGTATTTTACTCACATCCATTTTCGGCCTAATTTTTATTTTGTCTTAGATAGGTGACTTTTCGTCCACCCCAAGAGTCAGACGGGTAGCAATACTTGGATCAAGCCTAATCCGTACCTTCCTCTCCCACCTTGTTAAGTTCGGCATCTGGCCTTACGCAATCATCTCTCTCTCTCTCTATCTCTCTATCTATCTATCTATCTATCTATATATATAT